CGGACCTGCAATCCCATCTGGTGTACAGTATCTGCTCGTCCATTCCCCGGAGCGAGTCCTGCTCACTTGTGTTTTATAGATTTGCTTTTATTGTGCGGTATTTATTGCGGCATTCGCCTGCTGACTTTTTTCGGAGCGCATTTCTTGCTGGCCGAAATCGCGGCGAACTTCAAGCCGAGTGGCAGGCAACGCGATGTGGATGGCGGTGAAATGTTTTTGCAAGGGGAAGGGCCCGGGCCATAAGCCGCTTAAATTGGTTGGCCTTTTCTGGCCCCATTTTTCGTTTCGTTTCGTTTTCATTTTTGTGCCGAGTTTTGGATTTGTCGGCTGTAAAAGTTCGACCCGCAGGTTATAAAAATTGTTAATTAAGTTAAGTTTGAAATGTTGTTTTACGGCTCTGTTGCGCCCCTTTTATGGGTGTGGTCGGTTCGGCAATGAAGGCTATGAAACGGGCGTGCGGTTCAATTTAATTCACGTTCGCATTTCGCCAGAGTATCCCAGCCACAGAAATGTGCCAATCGGAATGGGGTTATTTGTTGATCGCCCGTCGCTCAACTGGATGCGAACGAAAGTTTACCGAACAAAGCCCCTCCCTGGGTCGGCCGAGCTTTCCCACCCACCGCGCACAAAGACGATCCCCGTGTTGGTTTTGGCAACATCATTAGGGACCTCCCCGCCCGCAGTTCGCGCTCCGAGGAGCACCTGCCGTTCCACCGTGTGTGCTTACTCAAGCTCGCTTCTTTGGCCCGCTGTGTTTTTGTTTGCCTGCTTATCCCGCCCATCGCAGGCGCAAATCCAGCAAATGGCGCATTGTGTTGCTTATCTGGCGGGGAGAGCGGAGGAGCAGAGAGCCGGGAAGGCGGAGAAAGCGGGGAACGCACCGCGGAGAAGTGCTTACATTTGCGCAAATGCGGCACAACAAACACAAGCAAACAAGGACAAACACTGGGAGCTGAGGAAGACGTTGGCTCTGTTATTTAAATAAATCGTTGCATACTTTGTGGCCCTCTGTGGGTGGGTAAGAGGCTTCAGAGGGGTGCAGAGGTGCAGAGGGGGTGGTGCGATGGGTGGCGGGGGTGGAGTGGCACAGAGTGAAACTTTAAATCTCATTTGAATTATTATGGCGGAAAAAACCGCTCGACAGTTGCGATGTTCGCTCTTTGTCTGCATTCTGTTGCATACTTTATGGCGTTTTAAGTGCTGCGACGATTTCGCAAATGCAGCTGAATGTGGAGTGTTGCCACCAGCCTGTCGCTTGTTGCCTGTCAGCCGTAATGCGCCCGTTAACTGAAACTATGCAACACTCCGCATTACTTTCTGCTCCTGACCCAATTTCGCCCGTCAGGCGGCTGGCTAGTAATTAAACAAGCGGCTGACACCAAGCCAAAGGCCGACCGTTTCCGATATGAGAGGCATCGGGCTTCCGTTCCACCGAATGAGCGGTAAGCCGAGCAGCGAAACACGCTAATTTTCACCGGGGAGTGCCGGTCGGAATTTCGAGGAGCGCCATTGAAACAAAATACCCCAGGGATCCGAGCTCCGCGGCTGGTTAATCGAAACGTTATGCCTGGGAAATTATTAAAAGCATTCCGAGTGGACAGAGAGCGAAAGTGCCGGCATTCCAGTGTTTTTTGCGTAATTTCAGCGCTCCTCAGCCACTTGATTTCCATTTTATGGAGTGTGACTCGCCATAAATTATAAAAATCCGGGTTGACTCTCATTGATTTCCACACGCCATTAGCTTCCCCGCTATTTCGTGCTATTTCGCGCTATTTCGGAGCCAACCTCAAAGTGGTCTGGGGCAACAAACCGACCACTTTCAGCTGCCAGCAACCGCAGCCACCGCTATCTCCCCTCCTCAGCGGGACGCAAGTCAGGATGCCACTTGATCATTAACAGGGAACCGCCGAGGAGGGGGCAAGGGCTCCCAACACGGGAGCTGCACTATTTAAGAGCTTCCAGCAATTGCAAGCGTAAATCAAATGCCACAGTTTGCAGTGGCAGCATTGCGCTCTGCTCCTCCTTCCCACGCTTATTTTATTTGCAATTTCGAACAACTTAAAGCTTGTGTGGGGTCCACTGCGCAGAAGGGCACGCTACACGTAAAAAATTCAACTACTTAAATGTGTGTCATTATTAGATTTGAACACTTACTATTTATATATTCCTTTTTATTAAGAATGCAATAGAGCAAAGGAAATCCAAGCGTTTCTTTTCTTTGGGGTAAAGTTGTTTAAAATGTTTGATTGTTGTGGCGCAGTCCGACTAATCACATTTAAACCAACAAAGTTTAAGTAAACCATATATAGTGCCATCAGAATATGTGGCTACTTGAGGCATACAGAAATGTTAAAATAGTCAAACTGCAATTGATTATATCTTAAATTAGTTCATGTGTGCAGAGGATGCGTGACCAGAGATTCCCTCACGACGAAGAACTGCATTTCTTTTCAACGTACCACGCCCTCAGCTCCGAGGGGCGAAGAAGGGGGAGGTGGGTCCCCTCGGCATGCCAGTGCAGTACAGCTGGCAAACTCCTGGCCAAGAGGAAAAGGGAGCTGCAGGAGGCGCCTGCCAACTGTTGGCTGGTGCTGCAGCACAAGCTCACACAATTTTGATTTATTATTTTGATTCCTGTTACTTTACTACCTGCCAGGATGCAGCCAGGAGCTGCCAGTCCGCCTCCTTGCAGCCACATCATTGTATCCAGAGCACGGTCGTCGTCGAAGCTCTCCTTTATTTTTATTCACACGGTTTCTGGTTTTATTGCTCCAATTACTTCATGTACTACTCGTTTTCCCGCTCTTTCCCCGCTCTCCGACCCACTGGGGGGTTGCACTTGAAAAGATTTAATATTTTTCGCCTCTGTGTTCGCTTTACTGTTTTAATTTATCGCGCTTGCAGGGCTTCCAAAGATTTCTGTTGGGCAACGGAGTACAAATCAAAACCGATAAGAGTAGTTCGACGATTTTTATGTACGACATTACCTTTTTCTGAAGCCTGAAACCAAGCTTAAGTCCCTATTAATGGATGCATTGAAAAAATCCACGCCTGGCACCTCTTTCATCCGTAAACCATACCGAGCAACTTGATGGGGACCAGCCAACAACACTTGATGCCAATTAAGCACTACAATCATGTGCTGAAAGGTTGAAGCCCTCCACTCCACCGTCGTCCTCTCGCAAAGCTATTTTTGCCGGGGTTTCCGCGACCCTCTCGACACCTGTTTCAGTTATTGCTCCGCCCACCGAGATGCAGTATGCAAAACGCTTAACTCCACATAAAATATACAAAACTAACTTAGTTCGCGCATATCGCAGGGCATAACTCACGGACTGCCGGCTCTGCCTTGTCGTCCTGCGAACCCTTTCAGCTCCACGTGTGCCACTTGCCATTTGTAACTGACTGCACAAAAACAAAACTAGTGACAATAAAAGGCGAAGAGGAGCCCGGCACAGAACCAATTCCTAACGAGCTTCGCCAGAGCAGTTTGCCAGGGATTGTCCTGAAATGGTGGAGGGGTTTTGAAGCGATGCGGCAGAGCCGAGCATTCTTCCCGTCGGGGTCACCTGAGGGAAGAGAACGAAAGCTTGCCACCGGAGAAGGATCTTTAACTCGAGCGGAGATTGGATAATTCCACGACTGCCGAGATCCGGCTCGGATTTGATCTCCGAATATACACTCGCACCGCGGAAACCGCTTAGAAGCCCTAAGCATTACCATATCAAAGATGTGTGCTTTTGAATCGCACTCGCAGCGCACTCCGCTAATGGCAACTGCTGAGTGGATGCAACAAAGCGAGTGCACTCTGCGGGGCGTGTGGTGGGGCAGGGCCTCGCCGGGCGGGTTATGTATAAATTCATAAAGAGAGCCACGGCGGCGAGAACTGGGGAACTGGGGAAGGACGACTGCGGCAACATGTTGTAATTGCGTATTTTATAGATATGCGCGGTCCTTCCGAGCGAGGGGGAGTGGGCGGCTGTTGTATCTGCCATTCGCTCTGTTTGCTTTTGTTTGCTGCGGAAATGGCAGCCGGTGTGCAGCGAAATATGGCAGTGGGGGCAACAACATCACGCATACGCCATGTTGCGCCATTTGAAGTTGTTGGCGTATACGTAATTTTTATTTTACAAGCAAACAAAACGAAAAGCAAGAAAAAGAGAAAACATTCAGCGTTGAAAAATGCATTCAGAGCCACGGCAATAACAAAAATGGCACACAGAGCACAGAGAAATTTTAATTGCTCAAAAAGCGTCGACGAGGGACGAAGGGCAGGACGCATGAACATCTGGAATGGAGGGGACAGGGCTGCGGGGTTGGCCAAACTAAATTTGGGTCCGTTATGGGGAACGTACCTTTTTACGACTTTTAATTCAATCAAAGTTAAATGAAATTACAAAAGGAAAGCATCAATTATTATTTTTGCATGTGAAAGATTTAGGTTTGCAGCGAAATCTAACCAACTCGGTGCTTTTAGAACTTCAAAAGGGCCGAGCTTTTAACTTTGACCCTAATATATGATCGCAATATTTATGTTTACCTAGCACTTCAGCCTCTGCTAGCTCATGTCGATGCATATTTATGGACTACTTGTGTACAGGTAAAAGTGAAAGGCTGCTCCGAAAATAAAAAGGGAATTCACGAAAAGTCGCACGCAAATGCGCACTTAGCTCGCCCTGCCCTTTCTATATCCTGTTTGGGAATGATTCGTCGTGTGTGTGCATTATCAGCCATGCGTGAAAATCAGGACATGCGCGTGAAAGGAAGGGCTTTGTTTGGGCCCCGTTGGAACTAATGATGATAATACAGACTCGACAGCGGGAAGCTCGTCGCTTTGCTTTCCCTTATTTCAAATATGATATTCATCGCCGACGTATTTCAGGCTGACATTCAATGTGCAGCGGCATTTGAGTGTGAATGTTTGGATAAGCATTCTGAATTCGTTCTCTATCGGGCTGAAATTAGGCGGTACCTATTTCTACACCCCTGTTTGCCGTAAACATACATAGTTGACTTTCAAAGTAATTTCAAGTTGATATGATAAATTGAATGATGTATAATTTGGTTCTATTGTGGGCATTTGTAATCGTGGCGGTTTTACAGCAGTCAGTTACCTTAAAGGACGAGCGCTCCTGCTCCTTGATCCAAAATGCGCGCTTCGAACTGCTCTGCGGAGGTGTCTACAACATCGATCTCTTCTTGAAGTACAGGGACAGTCTGACCTCAGTCAACGCACCTTACAAGGTGTTCTACCAGATCCAGGATGGCTTCTATTCCCTGCTGGTGTGCTTCAACGACTCTCCGGTTCAAAGGTGCAACAGTACGATCCAGATGAGCGCAGATCTCGAATTGTTTTGCGGGGACAGTGAATCGCCTTTGAGGTTACCCGACTCCCAGATATTCTGTCACCGGAACATCTGGAGCTATGTGGACGATTTGCTGTACGAGTGCACTACGCCGAGGATTGCCAACTTTCGTGTGTGTGAGTGCGAGGGAGAGGCTGCGATACACTACGCCTCCAAGTCAGAACTGGGAGCTCCGAAACATGGTTCTGCTGCTGGAAGACAAGCTTCATGGACCTTGCTTGCCTGCCTTCCGATTGTCCTGCTTTCAAATGTGATATAGCTGTCAACTGGTATATTCAAAATTTAAGTCCACCCGAAGTCTGGTGAAACATGCGTTTCTGTTCCATGTTCGTGCTCCTCCACATAGTGCGCAGGCTGGAGAAGGCCAAGAGTATGGGCGACCTCAAAGGAAGGGTCAAAGGGATTGAGGGATCCTCGGCTCGACTGCCGCAGACCGCATTATCGCAGGGAGGGCAGAGGAAAGAGCTCTTCCGCACCCTGCTCAAAATTGTTCCAAAGTGATTTGTGCCGAGCTCCTCCGTCAGTCAATAAACATAAGAGCACTTTCGCACTGCTCACACGATTTGTATCGCAGCCCCTTAAACACTATGAAATTAACGACTTCTGCTTAAAGTCCTTGCTGAACTACTCCCCCGCAGACTTTTGGGATCGGTGGGGCCTGCAAAGGCCAATATGGCGGCAGTCCATATAAGGCCATAAATTACGCCAACGCCAATGACAATGACGACAATGAAATGTGATGCCCCACCACCCACTCCCCATCCACCTCACCAAAGTTGGTGTGCGTGAAAATGGCAGTAAGCCGGGCCTGTGTGTGGGCGGGTGTGTGTGTGTGTGTGCGGCTGTCCGTGCCTGCATTTGGCTGCCATTGTTGGGATGTCTAAAATTTCATGCCACAACAGCGGCAGCCAGCCAGCTGGCCAACTACAATGGACTCAGCTGAACTGCCCGCCCATTTTGTTTACCCGAGTAAAATAAGCAGCTTCGAGATAATGCATGCAATCAGGGGTTAATGTGGGGAAGGGGGAGCGGACTGGGCGCCTTGAGGCGCCACACAGTGTGGCCCACAGTGACCGACAGAGTAACTACTCGGAACCATTTTATTGACATAGTAAAATACCAAAATATCGCGATAGGAGAAAGGGGAGCAGGGGCAGGATGAAGGGAACAGCCGCTGGGCGCTGCAACCGCGGGGCCGCCTCGTTCGTCCGTTGGATGTTCTCCTTCATGTAGGCGATCACCGTCGAGAGGGGCGGCGAGTTCGCCGGGCAGGGGGTCCTGGCACACGCATCGTATAGGTCTGTGGCGTACTGGAACGGAAAGTTGATGCAGTGCAGCTGGGCGGCCTCCGTGTTCGGCTCCACGAAGTTGTGCCCGTCGCAGTAGAACTGGCCGTCGCTCATGACCACAGTGTAGCAGCTGAAGAGCGGCGAGTCGTAGAACGAGATGAGCAGGTAGTTGGGGTCGTTGCTGTCGGAGCGCCGCCAGATGGCGTACGGCGTGCCGATGGCCGGGATGCGGTCCTTGTGCTGCAGCCGGATATTCTCAACGTACTCGCTGTTACAGACGTACTGCAGGATGTAGCCCTCGAGGAAGGAGCAGTTCTGGTACCTGCATGCGGTCGGAGAGGCTCCGAGGAGGAGCAGCAGCAGGATGAGGAGCACGACCCGGAGCAGCCGAAACGGGAGCGGTAGCTTGAGCGCACGGTGACTGCGGAGCGGCGGCGACTTCGGTGGCGAGTTTGGTGGCAAGTTCGGTGGCGAGTTCGTTGGCGAGTTCGGTGGCGAGTTCGGTGGGGAGTGCGGTGGGGAGTTCGGAGCCCTGCGGGCCGGCCGCAGGACATGCCGAGGAGGCTGGGCGGGATGGAGCGGCGGGAAGTCGATCCACTTGTTATTCAGACTTCGTGCGCTTGAGAGGCGCACTGGCATTGCTTATAGGCAAATGATTCTTTGATCATTTTCGAAAAATTTGATGGGAATTTCCAGGAGAATAAAAACGGTTCCGACCGCTTGTCCCCCGCTTGACAGGAGTTTCTCCCGTTGCCCCTGGCATTGGCGTTCAACACCCTACCACCTACCACCTACCACTCCTACAAAGGTTCCTGAGCACCGCGGTCCAAGCGGTAGTTCGCGTGGCTCTGGAGGGGATTTCCCGGCTCGGCACCCGCCGCGCGTAGTGAATGGCGACGTGGTCCAGCTTCGTGGCCGGCGAGATGCCGCACTGCTTCATCAGCTCCTGGACGTAGGAGAACGAGAAGCCGAAGCAGTGGATGCTCTCGGGCAGGATGTGGATGCCGGGCTCCTGGGAGTTCGAGCAGTGGAGGCAGTTCAGACTCAGGCTGACGTTGGTGCAGGGGGAAATTGGGGACTCAAAGAAGGAGATCAGCAGCTGGAGCGTCGGGTCCCGCCTCCACCACAGCCAGTAGTTCGTGTTGGCCTCGACCCAGATGTCCCGGTAGCTCAGCTTCAGCTCGGTGGAGTATTTGGCCTCGCAGGCCAGGGTAAAAGGGAGCCTGTTTTCGAGCATGAACTCGCAGGACTCGAAGGAGCCTTCGGAGGAGGTCAGGAAACAGGCGAGAGGCACTAGCCACACACTCCATGTCATGGCTGTCTGAGTTGTATTTCGTCTACAACTGACTTATAAGTCATGGCTTAAAGTGCAGAAAGCACTGTGCCTTACTTTTAATTTGTAATTAGTTCCAAAATTGAAACAGGATTTCTTGTACAAAACTAAAAAATATCATTGCATAAGCGGCAGGCAGACTGAATGCGACGGCGCCATTGCTCATTGGTTCCGTTTGTTTATACCTGATATCCCCATAGTGCAAGACGGGCTTCTTGGCAACGTCTTCTCCGTCGGTACTGAAGGCTCGGCCGAGGCAGAACCGTTTGAGCTCCATTGGATACCGCATACTGAAGGGAAAGCAGTGAATCGTCGAACGTGTGAGCCAAATTGCGTCGGTGGTGTTTTTCTTGTTAATTAGGAAGTAGAAGCCTGCCCATTGATCGCTTCCTTGCAGCCAGATTTTCCTGTACGGCGAAAATTGATTGGTGTAGAACGAGACCATTACGATCGTCTCGCCGCTTTCGGAATCATGGCCCTCCCACACGCTGAAATTCGTGCCGGCAGGTGCTCGATTGTCATGGAACATGAGGTACATATCCCTTGGCACGATGTCCCGGCACACGAACTGCATAGGCGTATTATACAGAAAGGTGCAGTTTCCCGAGCTGTGTATAGACTGGGAGTGAACTTGATCCAAGAGCCCCGAAACCATCAAAAGCACAACACAAGTCGACTGCAATCGCATGATAAAGAATTTGTTCAATATTTTCTGTAGACTTCCAAAACGAAACACAACTGACGTTTTCAGCAACGACACAAGGAATTTAAGAGGGTAAAAATTAAATCGTTTTAATTACAGCTAACTAAGGAAAGCGGATAGTAGGCAAACTTTTCACTGCCGTTGAACTAAAATATATTTGGCAAATCAGAACTCAACCTATTGCCCGAATAGGAGAACCAGTTTTCGGTTCTGGTAACATGTATTGCGATTCATACTTGCCTGTCACGTCGGTCTAGAATCCTGCACCATGAACTTTTGCAAAAAGTTTCGAACAACTTTTGCTAGCCAACAACGTTTAACTTGTTTCAATTCAATCAAAGTAATTAAACATTCCTGTCGGATATCCAATGAATTTACTTTCCAATCGCCTGTCGAAGTGAGTGACGTTATAAAACTTAAGATCCCTTATGTGAGCAAGGATTTCCGACAATCTACTAAGCTATTGAATAAGTTTTAGCTGCGCAACCCGAAGTCATCCAAAAAATCGCAACTCAACAAAAGGTTTCCTTCTTGTTGTAAAAAATTTTAAACTATTTCCGGTGATTGCTTTGATATTTTTTTTTTCTGCGCTTACAATACATTGTTAGTATTAAACGAGACGAATAAAAAGTAATGGTCTACATTTTTGGAATCTTTTTAGTGAACGCTAAACAATGCGCTTTGGATTCCTCAGTAATAACCTCAGGCCTAATAAATGTAAGCAGATTCTCTTTTCTTAGAACACTTTCTTAATTTCTTTGAAACGAAAAAAATGGAAGGACAAAATAAAGCTTTTAATACGATGATGATGTTCCACATCCGCCGTGCAATCCGTACATCGATTTCACTGCAGCAACTACGTGCCAGTGGAGGCCCTCGTTTAGAGGAGACTAACAAAAATAAAAAGAAAAGATTCGACAAATTGATTTACATGTCTGTCCTTGGGGTTGCAGCAATAGAAAGGGCTGCAGCAATAAAACAAGGGAGTCGGAGAAGAGGCGCAGGAACGAATTTACTTTCAATTTCGCTGGGATGACAATTTCTCTGATTTAACTCCATTTTATGAGAGGCATCGGCCCGAGTGTGGCCCGTGGTCCTTCCCTGGCTCCGTTTATTGAATTACAATAATAAAGGGGGTGTATTTGCTCGGCAAAGCTGGAGCACCCACAGCATGCGTCTTGGGAAACGGAGTGACAGCCGAGTGTGTAGCGCAGGTGTATTGTGTGGCCGATATAAAGGCCGACAGAAAAGAAACGAATTAAGTCGGGAAAATGCCAAAACTGCCAGTGAATGACATTCCCGAGCAGAAACCCTTCTGGCACATATTCAGGCTGAAATTACAATTCCATCTAACCATTCGCCATTCTTCGCTGCTGGCGCTGATGTCGCCGGTACTTCCCCTGCTGCCCCTCGCCCCTCGCCACCCGTCCCCATCCATCGAGCGGCCTTTGTGCCGGCTTCATTGTAATTTTAATACATGTCACATGATTTACAGCTGACGATGCCTTCGGCACTTCTTGTTCCCGGGCTTCCCAGGTGATGACAGCCCTGGCTTTGCTTGGCTTCGACTCTCCTGCCGCTGACACATTGCCAATGCATAAAAAGATCCACAATCGCTGCTGCGAATCGTGTTGCCTGATGGAGCATTGTCAGGACTGGGAGCCTTAGTTGCCGAATATGCTCCGAAATCAACCGATTCCATCGAAATCAATTAGGCAAGGAACTAAGAAAAAAGTCAATCGAAATAAAGCTAATGGTTAACCACGGACGAGCACTGGATCCATACATCTTAATAATAACAGCAAACAAATGCGGAGAGATGACGCACTCCAGTTTCCGGACTGCAGATGACGGGCGAATCACAGGAGGACAACAAGTGGCCCAGGAAATAATTCCATTAGCAAAATAAATAAGCAAAGTCCAAATGAATGATTGAGCAGGTACAGCCAGGTCCTTCGTCCTGCCACTGGCAGGATCCTGAGGGCAATCCAGCCTAAAAGCGTCGCGTGCATAAACCAAATGCAAACACCCCAACACACCTTCGCTCATTTCACTGAGGTCTCCCAGGATGTCACTCGACTGCGGTCGGCTGAATACATATTGCATGAGCCTCCCAAGTAGCGCACACATATTGACCCATTTCGATGTCGCTAGACAGGACCCCACGCCAGTTGAAGACAAGAGCCACGCCAGGACCTGCGCTAAGGAGCCTCAGCGTAGTTTCGGTTAATAAAGTCAAATGCCACCAAAATCAAAAGGAAAACGCCACTTACTACTAATGGCATCACGGCATCGGTGGCTGGGATGCCACAAGGACCCCATCCTAACACAACTGTCCTCGCAGCGGCAACGGCAACAATGGCTCTAGGAAATCCGACAGAAACCTATGGCCTCACTCGGGTTGGGGGGAAATTGGGGGATTTTTAATTGCATTAACATCACTCACTCAGCGGTACAGTGGGCCGAATGTGCTTTCTCAGCATATTCGCCAACCTGCTGCTATAATAAGGTTTACCTTTAAGAACCATTACCCAAATAAAATAAGTGTACATGATGTTTCCAAAACTTTCGCAGCTATTTTCCATATTCAATTTTGTGAGCGACTATGACTTATTATAATACAAACATCTAAAATTATTAAAAGTACAAGATTGCGGAACATTAACCGCTTACCTTGCAATTTGGCTATAAAAAAGTAAACTACTTGTATATGACTACGACTGGGCCACACAAGAATTACCCAAAAAAAAAAAAACAGATTTATTTAACCGCCCTGGAAACATAATCCCTCAAGAAATCAAAATATCTCATCTTCTCTAGAAAAGAGATAGGTAGATAGATTGTAAACAAAAACAAAGAAGAACATCAAATGCAGAGAAAATAAGTTCATTTTTCCACGAATCATTATAATACATTAACTTGACGATAAATCAAATATGTAATATATATAACACATGGCCGAAAGCCCCAACTGTGTAAAATAAATAAATCATTATCTTGTTAATTTTTACAATGATAGGGGTACATCGAAGAGCTGAGGTTTGCATTTTCAAAACAGCCAAAATAATTCAAATTCTGACTTTAAGTTAACAAGGAATTCAAAATTATTTTTTTTTATTATTTTTTCCAGCTCTCTAATTTGTAGCCCACTGTAAGTCTGCGATCTCAGGACATCCCTGGACAACGCGATGGGCCCGCTTTGTGTGGCACTTAAGTGCGTGCCGAGGCCTCCAGATATTTGATATTGGCTTATTTGATTTGGCTCGCAGCTTGATTGCGGCTCTTAGCCGGAGTTGGAGCTGTCCCTTGCATCAGGTATGCATATACGAGTTTTTGCGATGCCGGCCCAAGCGTACTAAGCGGCAAAGTGTATTCCTTTTTTTAAATTGTTTACAACCAGTTAAAAAAATAAAATTGCGTTTTATGGGTTGTACTTATATATAAGCGCTCTGCAAAGGGAATTGGCGTACAAAATGAAAATCTTATGGACCTTTCTACAAATCTACTTAAAACTTCACTCCCCCAGTCCGACTGCCAAGGAACACCTTTGCAAGGGAGGCGCGTTAAAGGACCTCACGTGCTGCCACAACAAAGGAGCCAACAAAAGTCAGCCAAGGAAGCGAGGCAAGGAAGCGGGGCCAACACAAACGACAGCAAATTATTCGCTGTCAGGACAGGACATCGGAGCAGTCGCAGGACTCGAGTGTGCGTGTGCGAGATTCCGCAGGACAGTGCAGGGGATTGCGTGTCTGGCAAGTCGGCGACCGAAAATCAAAAGAAAATTGATATTAAGAAATTGCACGAAATGAGTAAATGAAGCGTGGACGCCTAATGGACTGACGTCTGAACTGAGCTGAACCGATGAGGGCGTCTGATTGCCACCTTGGAAAAGATGTATTAAAAATTCCACGAAAACTAATCAATGTCAAATGTCCGTTGATTGTTCCTCGTCGACGGCCCAGATAGATAAAGCCGGGGAATCGTCCGATTCCACGCGTGGTTAGCTGAAATTAGAAAATAATTTGCTTTGTCCCGAGTAATTTATTGGCTGCCATAAATTGGACGGGCGTGTCGCGAGGAGTGTCATCTGATGGGCGGACCTGCAAGGACTTTACGATTTTCGTCAGCTTTGGCCTTTGCTTAAGTCAGCTTGAAGTCATGCCTAAATAATTCCCTGCCCCGCTGTCGCATCCGGAATGCGATGTCCTTTAAGACTTTAAACTTAAGAAATTTAAAGTTTTCCGCTCAATAAGTCAAAGTAAAATATACGGGCAATGGCTGTGGGCAATAGCGACATCAGACTACCTGCAATAAGTTTTTCGTTCTCAAATGGCGCTTTAATCACCAAATCAGTCAGCACAAAGGGAAGCTCAGCTAATTAGCGAATTGGGTAAGTAGTCGGATAAACGGAGTGGATAGTCACGAGTTGTGGGCTTTAAACTACACCGCCTACATCTTTGAGCGCTTTGAAACGCCTCACCAGGGATAATGTAAGAAATTAGCTGGCAAACGGGCCTCATACATCGCCAGACAATAAGCATAGCTGACATTGAGTTGATGCCCTCAACAACTCGCTCGCTCGCCCTTTTGGCCAGACGACAGCTGTCATATTGACATTCCTACTTAACGTCCTTGCTCGCTGCTCAATTTTTAATCGGGTTTCAAGCCGCTTTCGCAGGAGCCGCGTCCAAAGGGAAGCGGCAAACTCATTATTTTTATTAATATGATTTTCGCTGCACTTCACCTCGCTTCACTCCGGTGCAATTTGTGCATTTTGTAATTTTAATTTTCATATTTAAGGGCACTGCCTGGGATGCTGATGCGATGAGGCTGACAGGGCGCGCCAGTGTCAATGCATCTCATTGTTCCCTCCGATGAACAGCATTTATTTGCAATTATTTGTGTTAAGCCTGGTGGGCGGGGCGGGCACAAAGGAGTCGCATCCTGGCTGCCGCCGAGCTCTTCTGGGTAAATTACTCTGAGCCCTTCGGGAGCGAGCTGAGCAGCTCAAATGAGCACCCCTTCCCCATCCCTCCCAGGATTCTCCCGAGGTCCCCGATATTGCATTGCAATGGAAATGCGTTTTTAATTGCTGTCAGAAAGGTTCGCGCCGCCGACTGCGTGTTGAATTATGTCAAACAAGTTGTCGAGCCAACGAATGGCGACCTCGTTGACACACTTCACGGATTCCGCTTAAACCACTCTTTATTCTCTCGCCCTGCGGAGTTATTGTAAGTTCATGCCGCGGGCCTGCGGAGCGGGAAGGCGAAGACCCGCAGTTCTGTGGCGAAAGAGTGCAAGATCGTGGCTGAGTACCTGCAACAAAGCCGCTGCGCTTCCGCATTTCTTGCCCTCGCTGCTGCCGAGCGAAAGCACTGCGAAACAATTTCAGAGCCAGGTGAAAAAGTCACCCGGAGGCAATTGTCAGACGCAACACTTGGGAGGCTGCGAGGAGCTGACCAGGAGAGCTGGCTCCCCGGGTTGACAGGCTCCTGTTTGGGAGCCAAAACGCTCGGCACCTCAGCACCTGCTGAGCAGTGGCTAAGTGCTGACTGCTGGCTGCTAACTGCTACCTGCTAACTGAATAACAGACAGGTTTCCAGGCAAACTGAGATGTCAAGCGCAGCTCGAGTAA